TGGAGACCATACCTAGTTAAACACAAGACCAAGTTAGAGAAGATTCAGAGGTATGCCACCAGACTAGTCCCGGATCTGAGAGGTATGACCTGCGAGGAAAAGCTAAGGGAGCTGAATCTCACATCTCTGGAAAACAGAAGAGTAAGGGGAGACATGATAACCACCTACAAAATTCTCAGGGGAATTGACAGGGTGTACAAAGACAAACTCTTCAGCACGGGTGGGACACGAACATGGGGACACAGGTGGAAACTTAGTACCCAAACGAGCCACAGATACAATAGAAAGAATGTTTTCAGTGTCAGAGTAGTTAACAGGTGAAATGCATTAGGCAGTGATGTGGTGGAGGCTGACTCCATACACAGTTTCAAATGTAGATATGAAGGAGCCTAGTAGGCTCAGGAATCTGTACACCAGTTGACTGACGGTTGAGAGGCGGGATCAAAGAGCCCGAGCTCAACCCCCGCAAGCACAACTGAGTACAACAAGGTGAGTACATTACCAGCCACAACAAACCATTAAGCACAGCTACCCAGCAACCAGGAGGCCTGGTCGACGACCGGGCCGCGGGGACACTAAGCCCCGGAAGCACCTCAAGGTAGGTAGGTAGGTACCCAGGCTACCCGATCACCCAATAGAAAAAAGGAAACAAAATATTCATACAATTTAAAAACAGTTCACTAATTATTTATTTATTTATTTATTGATATAAAAGAAGGTACATTGGGGGTTAAGAGAGTACATAGTAATGATGATGATTCTACATTCTTGTAAAGCCACTGGCACACAGCGTTTCGGGCAAGTTCTTAATCTAACAGATCATTTTAAGTAGATAATTTCCAGTAAAATTGACAAATTTTTTTTACAAGTACATTGTAAGAAATGTTGACACAATAAACAAAGATTAGATTAATACACAATAATAACAGTACTCTATAATGACAAGGATTACGAGGTACATTAGGGTGAAATTTGAGGGTTATCAATTGGTTCATTGTAGCACAATTTGAGGATCATTTCAAGGAATAATGCAGTAGAATATACACTCAAATTAACAACCATGATATCAGATAATATCTGATGTAATCCAATAATATCTGATGATATCAAATACATCAGTGTTGTATGTGGGTGCTGAAGTTGAGTCTCTTGTCTAAGTATAGGCTAATGAACTTTCCATCATTTTTATTGCTGATGTTAATATTGTCTATCTGAAGCTGAATTGCATTTGTTGATATGCTTCCAAATACAATATAGGTCTTTTCTATGTTTAGTGTGAGTTTGTTGGTTGACATCTACGAGTGGAATTTTTTTTCATTCATCGTTAACAGTATTATTTGTGTGTGTGGGTTGGGGGTCTGAGTAGATGAGGGTAGTATCATCAGCAAGCAATATAGGTTTAAGCATGTTAGACATATTAGGCAGATCATTGATGTATATAAGAAACAGGAGAGGTCCCAAGATGCTGCCCTGTGGTACCCCTACGGTTAATGGTAGAGTGGGAGAGGTTATATCATTGATGGCTACACATTGGTCTCTGTCACTAACATGGGATCTGATATAGTTAGGGGCAAGGCCTCTTATTCCATAGTGGCGGAGTTTAAGTAAGAGGTAGTTATGGTTAACAGTATCAAAGGCCTTTCTCAGGTCAATGAAGAGCCCAATCGGAAACTCATTTTTGTCAAGGGCTGAGTAGATTAAGTCAAGCAGACTAACAACTGCATCACTGGTACTCTTTTGGGAGCGAAAGCCAAACTAACAGGGACTTAGTATTTTGAAGTTTACAAGAAAGGAGTAGAGCTGTTTGTAAATATTTTTTTCGAATATTTTTGATAATATGGGTAGGTTTTATATTGGTCTGTAATTGTTTATGTCAGCCGGATTGCCTCGTTTATGAACTGGCGTTGCTCTTATTTTTTAAGGATATCAGGGAAGGTATGACACTAGAGATTTGTTGAACAGCAGAGCGTCCAGAGGTATGGTTTACCATACCATGATATGGTATGGTAAAATACCATCCATACCATGGATGGTATTTTACTAATGTTCCCAGCTTTGGGTGTTAGTGAGTGTATGATGGACACAACATCTGTAGGGCTGACCGGTGAGAGGAGAAGAGAGGATAGCTGCCTGAAAGATGTGTGGTAACATGTGTCTGAGTCTGTGAGATTTTTCTGGCAAGGTTAGCACCAATGCCCGAAACGCTTTGCGTAATAGTGGCTTTAGGCATTGTATGTACTAGCTCTACCTATAAGTCAAACAATCCTTGTAAATATTTATTGTATGTATGTACCTTACCTAAATAAAATTGTATTGTATTGTATTGTATGAGAAGAAGAAGCTATTAAATTTAGTGGCCGTTTCTAAATCTGTTAGAGGTGTATAACCATCCTGGGAGAGTTTTATCTGGTTATGTGAGAGTTGTTTAAAATACTAGGTTGTTAGGGATGGCTCTCCATGTGCTTTTCATGTTGCCTTTTGCTTCTTTGAATCTATTCTTTCCTATTACTCTCATAATATGAAAGTTTCGCTCGTATTATACTGTGATACATTGATGAGTATCTCTTAACTACTTCTTTTGTAAGTAGACCAATCCTAAGTTTTTCCATATTCATGTTTCTTGTTGATTGTTTTGAGTATGCCTCTTGTGAGCCAGAGATTGTTTAATCTTTTGCCAGTTACTTGCTTGGTGAGGAGAGGACAGTGAGTGTTGTAGAGGCTTAGAGTTTTGGAAAGGAAGATGTTGACTAATTAATTTATATCTTGTGTATTATTGAATTCAGATTTCCAGTTTATATTGTGAAGTGCATTTGTGAGGTTGTCTATTGCTGCTTCACTGTGTAGTCTGAAGGTAAGTGTCTTGGTGTGTGGTGGTGTTTATATTGTGAAGTGCATGTGTGAGGTTGTCTATTGCTGCTTCACTGTGTAGTCTGAAGGTAAGTGTCTTAATGTCTGGTGGTGTTTATATTGTGAAGTGCATGTGTGAGGTTGTCTATTGCTGCTTCACTGTGTAGTCTGAAGGTAAGTGTCTTAATGTCTGGTGGTGTTTATATTGTGAAGTGCATTTGTGAGGTTGTCTATTGCTGCTTCACTGTGTAGTCTGAAGGTAAGTGTCTTAATGTCTGGTGGTGTTTATATTGTGAAGTGCATGTGTGAGGTTGTCTATTGCTGCTTCACTGTGTAGTCTGAAGGTAAGTGTCTTGGTGTGTGGTGGTGTTTATATTGTGAAGTGCATGTGTGAGGTTGTCTATTGCTGCTTCACTGTGTAGTCTGAAGGTAAGTGTCTTAATGTCTGGTGGTGTTTATATTGTGAAGTGCATGTGTGAGGTTGTCTATTGCTGCTTCACTGTGTAGTCTGAAGGTAAGTGTCTTGGTGTCTGGTGGTATGTAAGTCCGTGTTTACTACGAGGAAGGTAGGATAGTGGTCAGTTGTTCTGTCAGTGATTATACCAGATGCAAGGGGGAGCTGCTAGGTTACTCCATAACATGGTCATGCCTTTTTTCAATTTATACTTTAAGCTCAATTACTATTAAGTTTTAGTCTAAGTGTTTTTCCCCCGCGGCACCTTGCCCGAAACACTATGCGTACTAGTGACTTTAGGTATTGTATGTACTACCTCTATATATAAATCCAACATTATGTTTGTAACTAATCCTCTATGTATGTACTTTTGATCTGCTACCAGAAATTTTAGCCAAATATCCCCAGTTTGCTAACTGTACTCACCTAATTGTACTCACCTAATTGTGCTTGCGGGGGTTGAGCTCTGGCTCTTTGGTCCCGCCTCTTAACTGTCAATCAACTGGTGTACAGATTCCTGAGCCTACTGGGCTCTATCATATCTATATTTGAAACTGTGTATGGAGTCAGCCTCCACCACATCACTTCCTAGTGCATTCCATTTATTAACTACTCTGAAAGGTAGTAGGTAGTAACTAAGTAATTGTAACCTATCCACCGCTGCCCACTGGATGGGGGGCGGTGTGCAGGACAAACATATCAATTTTGACACTAGCTCTCCACATATGTCAGTTGCTTAATTTAGAAACTGTACTTGAGGTCGATCTCGAACCCATTGTTGATGTGACGACTTATATTGAATTTTGTAACTAGCTCATCAAGATTGTAATTTGCTTAGCTAAATGAATTGTGGGGTTCAGTCCGTGAGCCCATTATGTGCCTCTGTAACCCTTTCCCCTACCCCCCACAAGATGGGTATGGGGTGCATAATAAATGAACTAAACTAAACTATGTACTTTTACCTGAATAAACATTTGATTTGATTTGATTTGATTTGATAAGTGATCCAAGGAAGCAGTGGAGGTTTCAATGATTTGGGTGGGCTTGGTGATTGTGGGGATTAGCATACAGGAGTTCATGCTGTTTAGAAAATTAGTTGTGGAACCAATTACCGTGTAACATAATAGAAGAAGCATCTTTTGACTGTTTCAAGCGTAGGTTAGACATATATATGAATGAGAATGGGTGGATATAAATAGCGGCTGCCTGGTATGAGCCAATAGGCCTTCTGCAGTTACCATCATTCTTGTTCTTATATACACAGGCTACATGTCCCCATCAATAATAAAAACTAATATTACATGTTAGACCAATTCTGGAATATGAAGCACCAGTCTACAATCGTTATTTTATCAAAGACAAAGAAGGCGGAGAATGACTAACGGTATACGACCAGACTAGTGTGAGACAGGGTGAGGAGGCCGGACCTAACCTCACTCTGAGGAAGAAGAGGCACAGGAGGAGGAGGAGACGTCATACTGGAGAAGTCTCAGGGAGAGAAGATGGGGGAGGGGGAAGGAAGATATATGGGGGAGAGAGGCGGTGCATATAAGCCGTAGATGATATTAGTTAAATATTTCAAATGTTCATTATAAATAAATAAGGGTACGTATGTGTGATCTAATTTAGTGAGTGGTGGTGGGATGGAGGGAGGGAGGAGGGGAAGATGGCGGCGTGTTACCTCAGTTACGGACACCCCCGCCAGAGGTCCCTCAGTGTGCCGGCGACCACGGCCAGGGACGGAGGTGCTCTCAGCTCCAGCTCCAGCCATCATGTCCAGAGTTTCCAAGCGATTCTATCGCGTTGACAGCCTCCATGGCCTGGATAACTTGGACAGGGGCGAGTGCGCGTCGCAGGAGAACAGATGGGTGTTTGAAGTGAGTCACGAGGCGGCCAATAAAGGTAAGGTGGTGGTGAACGTGCAGGGAGGGAGAGAGAGAGTGGTGATGCCGGCCACTCTTACCCCAGTAACGGGGCTGGTGGTGGTGGTGCCCAGGTCATGCTGCTGCTGCTGCCCTAGTGGTGCCCAGCCCACGGTGGTGGTGGTGGTGCCACTGTGGTGGTGGTGGTGCCACCGTGGTGGTGGTGGTGCCACCGTGGTGGTGGTGGTGCCACCGTGGTGGTGGTGGTGCCATGGTGGTGGTGGTGGTGCCCAGGTCATGCTGCTGCTGCTGCCCTAGTGGTGCCCAGCCCACGGTGGTGGTGGTGGTGCCACCGTGGTGGTGGTGGTGCCACGGTGGTGGTGCCACCGTGGTGGTGGTGGTGCCACGGTGGTGGTGCCACCGTGGTGGTGGTGGTGCCACGGGGAGATGAGGCACTTGTGCATCACCACCGGGATCACTGTCAATAATTATATGGTAATTGACGTTATCCCCGTTATCCCGCCTTATCTCGGCACCAGTGTGGGCTGGGGGGGGGGGGTGACGGGGGTGTGGTCCTGGGGGGCAGGGTCTGGGGGTCCTCCGCAGGGGGGGGGGGCAGGACACACACCCGTGCTCTACCAATCACAAGTCTGGTCCTGTGTGACGTCACACAACTCTGGGATGTGATTGGCGGGTGAAGAAGTGGGCCCCAGGGTGGCGTGGTCCTGTGTACACTTGACAGGACTGGTGGGTGTCGTCCCTGGGGTGGTGTAGTCCTGTCTACACCACCGTCAACACCACCCACGGTCATTGTCACCTCGTTGGGCCAGTTGGCATGTAACTGGTCAAGGTCACCATCTTGACCCTGGCACTCTTATCTCAGAGGAAGTGTCTGGCTGATAAGGCCGATAAGGACCTCTAGCGTTTCCTGTAGGCCTATAGTGAGGCCGCTGCAAGCCCCACGGTTTAGGTCCGGGGCTCACCCCTCCCCCCCCCCCCCCCCCCGGCCTCTTAACTATCCTCTACCTGGGTGGGGGGGGGACACTACTTCACTACTGGTCAAATATAGAAGCTGTTCTTAAAAGATTCCTCCATTTTGCACCCGCAAGATAACGTAAGATTTTAAGGGTTGACGAATCTTCTCGTTTGAGGAGCTGTTCACTTGAGACAGTTAAGCCAGTCCCAGCTGTGTCTGGGTACAAGTGACAGGATGAACAACCCAGCGGGTTTTCTTCCTTTTGGGGAGTGTTGTACATGCTGCTATGGCGGTGTGTCCACTCACAGGATGAGTGGTGCTGCCCAGTACTGTCACTATGGCGGTGTGTCCACTCACAGGATGAGTGGCGCTGCCCAGTACTGTCACTATGGCGGTGTGTCCACTCACAGGATGAGTGGGCCTGACCAATACTGTCACTATGGCGGTGTGTCCACTCACAGGATGAGTGACGCTGACCAATACTGTCACTATGGCGGTGTGTCCACTCACAGGATGAGTGGCCCTGACCAATACTGCCACTATGGCGGTGTGTCCACTCACAGGATGAGTGGCGCTGTCCAATACTGTCACTATGGCGGTGTGTCCACTCACAGGATGAGTGGCGCTGACCAATACTGCCACTATGGCGGTGTGTCCACTCACAGGATGAGTGGCGCTGCCCAATACTGTTACTATGGCGGTATGTCCACTCACAGGATGAGTGGCGCTGACCAATACTGTCACTATGGCGGTGTGTCCACTCACAGGATGAGTGGCGCTGCCCAATACTGTCACTATGGCGGTGTGTCCACTCACAGGATGAGTGGCGCTGCCCAATACTGTCACTATGGCGGTGTGTCCACTCACAGGATGAGTGGCGCTGACCAATACTGTCACTATGGCGGTGTGTCCACTCACAGGATGAGTGGCGCTGACCAATACTGTCACTATGGCGGTGTGTCCACTCACAGGATGAGTGGCGCTGACCAATACTGTCACTATGGCGGTGTGTCCACTCACAGGATGAGTGGCGCTGCCCAATACTGTCACTATGGCGGTGTGTCCACTCACAGGATGAGTGGCGCTGACCAATACTGCCACTATGGCGGCGTGTCCACTCACAGGATGAGTGGCGCTGACCAATACTGCCACTATGGCGGTGTGTCCACTCACAGGATGAGTGGCGCTGACCAATACTGTCACTATGGCGGCGTGTCCACTCACAGGATGAGTGGCGCTGACCAATACTGTCACTATGGCGGTGTGTCCACTCACAGGATGAGTGGCGCTGACCAATACTGTCACTATGGCGGTGTGTCCACTCACAGGATGAGTGGCGCTGACCAATACTGTCACTATGGCGGTGTGTCCACTCACAGGATGAGTGGCGCTGACCAATACTGTCACTATGGCGGTGTGTCCACTCACAGGATGAGTGGCGCTGACCAATACTGTCACTATGGCGGTGTGTCCACTCACAGGATGAGTGGCGCTGACCAATACTGTCACTATGGCGGTGTGTCCACTCACAGGATGAGTGGCGCTGACCAATACTGTCACTATGGCGGTGTGTCCACTCACAGGATGAGTGGCGCTGACCAATACTGCCACTATGGCGGTGTGTCCACTCACAGGATGAGTGGCGCTGACCAATACTGCCACTATGGCGGTGTGTCCACTCACAGGATGAGTGGCGCTGACCAATACTGTCACTATGGCGGTGTGTCCACTCACAGGATGAGTGGCGCTGACCAATACTGCCACTATGGCGGTGTGTCCACTCACAGAATGAGTGGCCCTGACCAATACTGCCACTATGGCGGTGTGTCCACTCACAGGATGAGTGGCGCTGCCCAATACTGTCACTATGGCGGTGTGTCCACTCACAGGATGAGTGGCGCTGACCAATACTGCCACTATGGCGGTGTGTCCACTCACAGGATGAGTGGAGCTGCCCAACACTGTCACTATGGCGGTGTGTCCACTCACAGGATGAGTGGCGCTGACCAATACTGTCACTATGGCGGCGTGTCCACTCACAGGATGAGTGGCGCTGCCCAATACTGTCACTATGGCGGTGTGTCCACTCACAGGATGAGTGGCGCTGACCAATACTGTCACTATGGCGGTGTGTCCACTCACAGGATGAGTGGCGCTGACCAATAAACTCGCCCCTCCGGGCAAACTTATAAAACAAAAAAAAAACAAATTCAGGTTGAGTGAGCGTGTTGGGGTTGAACACGTGCAGGGTGACGTAACTTGGCCATGGGTGGTGTCTGGCAGTCATGGGACCCCATGTTGTTGCCAAGTGGCAGCTCTTGGCTCATCGCAGATGGGGGGGGGGGGTATGGACCCATGATTAGATGGGGGGGGGTATGGACCCATGATTAGATGGGGGGGGGTATGGACCCATGATTAGATGGGGGGTATGGACCCATGATTAGATGGGGGGGGGGTATGGACCCATGATTAGATGGGGGGGGGTATGGACCCATGATTAGATGGGGGGTATGGACCCATGATTAGATGGGGGGGTATGGACCCATGATTAGATGGGGGCTATGGACCCATGATTAGATGGGGGGTATGGACCCAAGATTAGATGGGGGGGGGTATGGACCCATGATTAGATGGGGGGTATGGACCCATGATTAGATGGGGGGGTATGGACCCATGATTAGATGGGGGGTATGGACCCATGATTAGATGGGGGTATGGACCCATGATTAGATGGGGGGGTATGGACCCATGATTAGATGGGGGGTATGGACCCATGATTAGATGGGGGGTATGGACCCATGATTAGATGGGGGCTATGGACCCATGATTAGATGGGGGGGTATGGACCCATGATTAGATGGGGGGGGGTATGGACCCATGATTAGATGGGGGGGTATGGACCCATGATTAGATGGGGGGATATGGACCCATGATTAGATGGGGGGTATGGACCCATGATTAGATGGGGGGGGGTATGGACCCATGATTAGATGGGGGATATGGACCCATGATTAGATGGGGGATATGGACCCATGATTAGATGGGGAGGGGGTATGGACCCATGATTAGATGGGGAGGGGGTATGGACCCATGATTAGATGGGGAGGGGGTATGGACCCATGATTAGATGGGGAGGGGGTATGGACCCATGATTAGATGGGGAGGGGGTATGGACCCATGATTAGATGGGGAGGGGGTATGGACCCATGATTAGATGGGGAGGGGGTATGGACCCATGATTAGATGGGGAGGGGGTATGGACCCATGATTAGATGGGGAGGGGGTATGGACCCATGATTAGATGGGGAGGGGGTATGGACCCATGATTAGATGGGGAGGGGGTATGGACCCATGATTAGATGGGGAGGGGGTATGGACCCATGATTAGATGGGGAGGGGGTATGGACCCATGATTAGATGGGGAGGGGGTATGGACCCATGATTAGATGGGGAGGGGGTATGGACCCATGATTAGATGGGGAGGGGGTATGGACCCATGATTAGATGGGGAGGGGGTATGGACCCATGATTAGATGGGGAGGGGGTATGGACCCAGGATCAGATGTGGGATGGGGGGACGGCAATGGTTTTGGATTCAAGATGATAGGGGGGGGCTCTTGTGGATGCTAGGGGGACTGTTATTAATGGGGTTGAAATATGTATCTTAATCAAACACCCACATATTCTCTGTGTAGATTTTATTTCAAAAGTACAGCACATGTATCGAGGGGGAAAGGGTGTCATTTTATTTATACAGTAGTATTTATAACACGTATTTGAATTGTAATATATACAATTAGGAATTTGGAAATTTCTCTCGTTGTGAAACATACCATATATTATTTTTTAACATTAAGCTATATTTACCACTTTTTACGTAACGGTTCAGAATACATACGTTTGTAATATCAATATTAATTAACTCTTATTCACTGCCTGTCTAAAAGCTGTTCCCGTTTTGTGCCTATGACTACACACACTATCACGTCTGTGTCCTACTCTAGGACCGGTCTAAATCAGATACGCTTCAGACGAGATGTTATCTTGTCTGAGCCTCAATATAG